GGACCGTACCCAGGTTCGATTGTTTCCCCCTGCCACCTCCTCGGTTGGTTTGTGTTCACACTGTCTTTTTTCCTTCTGAACCCTGGTATGCTTACGTCATCGAGCTGCTGTTTTGTTTATGGCCGTTCCTAGGTGACGGTCACGAAAGCAAGAACCGAAAGGGAAAGACGTTCTCACATCGCGGTCATTCCGCTTTTACTGAAGCTTTTGGTTTTGGACATACAGAAAGCGACTTGCGTCCATCTGCTGCAAAAATGTTATAAACATTCAGAACATCACACAGTGTCTGCAGGAGCTGTTTTTGGAGGAGACAAGCAGACATCACTGTGTATCACTGTGTTTGCTCTGGCTCAGTCCCGCACGTGTCACCAAGGTATGAAACGTGACACACACACAAACACGAACGAACGTTATGAAAACGATAGTTTGTTGTACAGATGGCGGTTCACTTCCATGATTTGGTACAATTGCATTCACATCAGAAGTGAACTGTACCAGAGTTCGCATGAACCGTACCCCAGACCACCTCTTTCAGGCGGACTCGGACAAAGCTTTTGAGCATTAAAACAATAAAAGTGTTAAAAATTTACCATTTTGTACATTACAATATTTTATTTTTATATTTTTTCCGAGTAAAAAAATTTAATTATACATTTTTTTTTTACATTTTTCGGGGTTTTCACCTTTATTCATAAGACAGTGAAAGGATCGGCAAAGGACCTCGAGCCAGGAATCGAACTTGGATCGCCCCGAGCACCTTGGTGCTACAGTATGTGTCGACTCACTAACCACTAGGCTAGTGGCTCCAACAACCACATTTTTAAAAATATGATTCACAAATGATAGTTTATTAAGATTTAGGGCCCTATCATACACCCGGCGCAATGTGGCGCAAGGCGCGACTCAATTGTTGTTTGTGAGTTTTATCGTGGTGCAAGAGTCGTTTTGACGTTTTGCGCCACACTGTTTAAATAGAAGATGCATTTGCGCTCATATGTGCGCCCATAGGCATTCTGGTCTAAAAAGGAAGGCGTTCTGAGGCGCATTGCTGGTGCTTTGCTATTTTGAGAAACTATAATAGATTTTTCAATAGACCAGAACAAAGCCGGTCTATTGTCCAGCGCAGAGCGCGTTAGATGTGCACTTCGCTTACACACTGCTTAATACAAACAAGATGTAGAGCAATACGCAAATATCTTTACATTTGAAAAAAATGAAAACATTAAGGATATATATAGGATATAATAAGGATATATATAGGATATAAATATAAAGGATTAAAATATTACAAAACATATTATTTTCTAGCCTATATAAATTTAAAGACCGTACTTTCATGCCTTCTTCATCTCGGTGGCTTTGTCAGTTTATTCGTGACAATTTGCTTTTGTATAATGTTATTATTGTTAGCAGTATTATTTATTATATCCATATTTATATTTGTTTTAATTAAAACAAGCTTAGATTTGCCCACCAGTCAGGTTTCAGACCATATGGGGCACAGCATGTGAATTAGGATATAACTTTTTCAACACACTTCGTTATTATTGTTCATTTATTCGTTTGCTGGAAATTAGAAGTAAATTTAGAAATATTTTTGAAACAAATCTTAACAAACAAAATTAATTATTTATAGGCTAATTGATGTCTGTGCGTACAAGGTTTCCTAATCCACGAAAGCAAAAGTGAGAGTAGATAATGATAAAGCCTTATCTCTCATTCTCGCGCTGCAGATGCTCTGTTTAACTGTTTTCTTGCTAGTGAAACACTTACAATTTAAGTCGTCATATAAATAGCACATTTTCCACTTACAAAGTCATCATTTAAATAGAAAATGCACCATGGTGCAACGCAACTGGCTCTTAAAGGGAATGGGAGATGAGACTCTGATTGGTTTATTCTCAAAACACAACTATAACTCATTAAGAAAATTAGCTCAGCCCTTTTAGACCATGCACCACGTCGCAAAGTGGATTTTTTTCGTCTTTGGGAAAAGTGGATTCTGACACACCCTAAATGCGCTTGCGCCCTGGGCTTTGTACTTTGCACATGGATCGTCAAAATACAGCCCTTAGAGCAAAAGAAATTTGATGACATATTAGGTGACTCTATTTAAGGATTCGAGCGAATCCCCAAATAAAATGTAATTGTCATTAAAAGTATATATGGCGACGCAGTGGCGCAGTAGGTAGCACAGCAAGAAGGTCGCTGGGTCGCTGGTTCGTTCCTCGGCTCAGTTGGCATTTCTGTGTGGGGTTTGCATGTTCTCCCTGCGTTCGCGTGGGTTTCCTTCGGGTGCTCTGGTTTCCTCACAGTCCAAAGACATGCGGTACAGGTGAATTGAGTAAGCTAAGTTGTCCGTAGTGTATGAGTGTGTGCGTGAATGTGTGTGTGGATGTTTCCCAGAAATAGGTTGCGGCTGGAAGGGCATCCGCTGCGTAAAAATGTGCTGGATAGGTTGGCGGTTCATTCCACTGTGGCGACCCCGAATTAATAAAGGAACTAAGACGACAAGAAAAGGACTGAATGAATAAAAGTATATATTGTGCAACAATCCTTCAAACCATTTTACCCATTTGATGCGTGAAATGTATGATCACATGATTCTTTTATTTTTTTATTCTTCCATTTTTTTACGTAAACATTAATTTTAAACAAAAAACACTTAACTTACATTTAATATGCATTTAAAATATATGTAACTCACTCACGTGAAATTAATTTGATTCATAAATCAAGTATATAAAGTACAAGTGAATAGATTACTTTGTGATAGTTATTTATATGTATGTCTCAAAACTTATGAATAGACAAATAGACAGAGAGATTAACAATCACTATTCATTTTTAAGGTTGGCTTTTATCCAAGACCTTTCCTTGAACTTACTGTATCATTGTCATGACTAGTTATGACTGGCTTATAGTTATAATGGAGTTAAATCATATTTAAACTGTAGACGCTTCAACATGCAACTTTGTTTTTTGTTCTGTTTCTGTTGTGTTTTGTAACTGTTTCTATTTTCTATAATGCCGTGGCAGAACAACAGCATCAACTACTATGAAAAGGATCACCTCAGGTGCTGATAATGTGCTTTCTTCAGTGTTAATCGCACTAATGATCATGTTTACATTGACACCAATAATCCACTTTTAATACAATTACAACAATTGTTTGATTAAGAGTCTACCAGGTAAACAGCAATTTTTACCTTTATTCTATCCAATTAAGGTCAAAATCGACTTAAACAGAAATGGAATCATGATGTAAGGTATTCCAATTTTAGTGGCATTATTGAAGTGCAGTACAGAGATGTAAACACCGCAATCAAACTATTAGCGTGGTATAGGATTTTCAATGTGTTTTGTGACAGGATAGTCTATACACACATGACTGTTTGACACTATTGTCTTTTTTCCCATATGGCTTGCAGTATTAAATTCCATTAAAATTACACTTTTCCAGCAGTTCATACTCGCATCCAATATCTCGTTTTTCGAGGGGGCATGAACAAAATGTTCCTTAATAAAAGTAAAAAGAGCCAAACTGCAATTAAAGTCGACAAATTAAAAATGAAACACCCGAAATTACATGAAACTCTAGTGGAAATATGGATAGTGTGGTGACGCAATGACATTAATCAAATTATGTGCTTTAACATGTAAAACAGGATCATGAAAAAACATTCAAAAAGCAACTCATGTAGACACCTTAATCAGATTATTATCTTATTCAGATTAAGGCAAATAATTCAATTCCTGATCTCCATATAAATGTAGTGAGTTTGAAGACCATTTTACTTAACACTTTTTGCTATACTGAAAGCTGCAGCAGATAGTTTACCTCGGATTTTAAATAAAATAACTAGCAAACAGTTTGAAAATAAAAGTCAGAACTGTGATTCGGTGCAAACCAACAGCATCCATCAATCAGTTGCCTACAGTGTGTACTTTTAACAATGTTAAAGAGGTTAAACATGTATTGATTACAAAACTTACCATTTGGTTGTGATTGTGATCATATTATTTAAATGTTTCTGCCATGTCACATCACGTTTGGTGCAGACAGACACATTGCTTGTCGATGGAATCTTGTTGCATCATGTATAGCTAGGACAGGGTGTTACACAGTACTGATTAAACCTTCATGGGTCAACAATTCAGATCAAGAGAGGCCAGAAGCTTTCAAGGATCCAACCAACAGTTTATCAACGCAACAAAACCATTGAATGTCAACTTGAGGAACGAGGAGAAGTAAAACTGGGAAATATTTGCAGAGCTATTTTTAAATCCCAATTGTCACACTCCCAAAGACCTACAGGTAAAAAAACCCCAGCAAGACCGAGAAGAAAGAAAAAAAAAGAAGAAAAAAACAAAACACAGTCTTTGGTAAACACAAGAAAGAACATCAGGGCAAAAAAAGCACACATTGCTCTCAAGAAAGCAGTTCAAAAAAACGAACAGCAATAATAGCAATATCCAAGATAAAAGATGACAAAATGTGCTGATCCATGTGTGTGTATCTGCGCTTTTCTGACTTTTCTCCCCACTGAAGCATTTTATTTCTCAGATTTATTGGTTGGTCTTTAATACGGCATCCAGACAACTATTCACACTGACAAAACCCAGTGAAAACACCTCTTTGTCTTTGTGAGAGTTGGAGATAAGTTTAAAGCCTAATAATCGCTCAGGGTTTTGAAAAACATCATAAAGCAACTGCAGTAAAATTGTGCTTCAGACAGCGCTATCGGGGTATTACATTTCAAAACCACTGTTCTTCTCTCATTTAATCAAGATACAGGGCTTCTTTTTTCCTTTCAGAAGTTGCGTGTCTCTCTCCAAAGTCAAACGAGAAAGTTTCACACAAAAACACAAACACACACATATATATATGTATGCACATGTGGCTCTCATCACTACCAAAGAAAGGCTGTTTAATTCTCCAAAAAAAGACTTTCTTTAAAAAAAGACAAGAAAAAAGGAAAAACATGCAACAAAAATACCTTCATCTCGGGGCCGGTTGAGTGTCGATTCATCGTGTTTTTTTGTGAGCGGACCTAGGGTTAAGACAAAAAGGAGGGAAAAAGAGAAAAGAGAAAATTCAAAAAAAGAAGATTACTGTGGCAAGAGAAAAATCAAAAAGAAAACAAGAAAGAGCAAAAACCAAGAAATCAGCAAGAGGTTATTGTTCTCATTCTTTTCAAGAGGTGACAAAAAGAGCAAAGCAAAGGCAAACAACAAAAAGCATCATAAACACAGAATAACAAGAAAGACACAATCGGCTACAAGATCAAAGATGTTTGATGTTAGCTCTGTGAATATTCTCGCCATTGTTCTCGCAGGCCTTTTCTTTAACGCCTGCTTTACTCGCTACAGTTATGACCGCTTGTTCAGCTTCCGGGGATGAAGGAAAAATTAATGTGGAAGAATAGGGAATTAACCTCTGAGGTATGAAAAACAAGAATTCCCATTCCCACCCCAGTCCTCTGTCGCTCCTCTAGCTGCGGTCAAGCTACCATCCGCCTCGCTTTGAAAATGTGAGAGGTGCTAGAAAAGAGGACCTGAGGCAAGGAGGGCAGAACACACCAGGCACGTGTTCTCTCTTACACACACACACACACACACACACACACACACACACACACATACACACACACACACACACACACACACACACACACACACACACACACACACACACACACACACACACACACACACACACACACACACACACACACACACACACACACACACAGCCTCTGGGGAAACAGAAGCAGAGGGTGCCGCACTCACAAATACAGTACACACACTGTGTTGACACTGTTGTCTTTTTGTGTAAACTGAAGCCTTTCTATACATACACAGCACAAAAACAAAACTTCAATACCCACAAGCTTTTAGAAATAATGCCTTGAATCATTTTTCATTTAATGTTCTGAAACACTTGCAAACAAAAATACACTATTAAAAACTAATCTTTGAAAGTATCTGGAAATCATCATCTAACTTGACACAATCAATGTATATTATATTATATTATATTATATTATATTATATTATATTATATTATATTATATTATATTATATTATAGTAAAAAGTTTAATTTAAACAAAACTACAATAAGAATAAGAAATGAAGACAAATCTAGGAAATCCATTAAATCCAGATTTTTTTGTAGTTGTTCCATATATACAAAACAGTCAGGTACAACTAGACATTAAAGACTAGAAAGGCTTCTAACCTCAAGGAACATTTTTTTTTTTTTTAATAGCAGAGAATGCATTATAAAGTTATTTTTAGACCCTTTTTAGGCTCCCTTCTTTGCTCCCTTCTTTGTGAGCTGACCTGAAAAACATCTGCCGAAGAGAGAAACACAGTAAAATAGAGATACATATAGAAAAATAATGAAGAGGTCTCTCTACTGGATATGGCTGTCCTTTCCAGACATAAAAAAAAGTGGGGGGGGGGGGGGGGGGGGGGGGAGGGGGTGGGGGGGGGGGGGGGGGTTGAGAGAAAGAGGAAAGAGTGCAGGAATGTGTGAAAAAGACAGGTCAGACCACTCTCGCTCTGGTAGAGATAGAGTAAAACCAGGGACAATGTGTGTATTGGATGACCAAAGGGAAATATGTTGTCAATCAAGCACACAGGAGACAGTCCTGCCATCTGCCAGTGAGTTTACAGACGCATATGTGAGTCCACTATACTGATGCCACTTTACTTGACAAAATCTGCTGCACATGCTTTAAAAAAATTAGACTATAGGTAGAAATGCAATTGAAAGGTTATGGATGCAAATTTAATGAAATGTGTCTAATCATTAAAAATAAAAGATTTTTAAAGGATTTTTCTAAAATCTTATATAATGATATAAGCCATATTATATCCTGATAACTAAATATATCATCAAAGTTTGTCAGTCCATTAATAGTTTATATTATGCACTGTAAAAAATCTGTTAATTATCAGTTTTCCATGTATTTACAGTTGTGAATTGCATTATGGGATCTAGATTTCTGCTTTGTCAACTTTTGATGTTGAAAATACAACTCTACAGTTTAACAAAGTGACTTTTATTGACATTTTAGTGGATTGAAATAATATAATGTAAGAGGAATAAGTCTGTAAAGTAACAGAAAATGTACTGGCAGTTTATTACAAGGTTTTTTTACTAGAATATACAAACCAACCCAGACAATATCTTACTTTAAATGATTAAAAAGGTTAATAAAATTCAATTTTTTTAACATCTGTTCGTTTAAAAATATTAAATAAATATGAAACAATATATAAAACAATTTTCAAAACAAAAACATAAATAAAGTGCTAAATGTAAACACTTTCAAGACTGCAACTTTCTCACAATGCTGTTATTCATGTTTCTGTCTGCATCCCTGTAATGCTCTGTAATATTGTGCTCATATAAATTATGATACAGTAAAAAAAAATACAGTAAACTAAATATTTTGTGACACCACAGTATAAATGATAAGCGCATAATATGAAATAATACTTTTTCTTTTGTCACCTAATTAGCTTCTGCGTCATTAACTAAATGGCGCAGGAGTTTGGATTGCAAATAAATTAAATTACAAATAGTCAAACTACTGTAATTGAGTACTTTTTCCCAGGATTTGTACTAACTAGTTTTTTAAAAATGCGTATTTTACTTTCCCTTGGGTACATTTATAGTGCAGTATTGGTACTTTTACTACTTTCCTTCAACCTGCAGTCACTACTTTATTTTCTTTCTTGTCTATGGGGATTAGAAAAACCAATCATGTATGTCCTGTCCAATCAAATCACACATTGAAGTAAAGAGGTAAATCTCATCACAACAAACTACCTTAAGACATGGGGGATTTATAATTGCAGCTAACTGTGCATTTAAAGTGTCCAAAAAGATGTCCAAAATCTTTACATGCATAGACTTAGAGACTTCTTAGATGCATGTCACAGATGAAAAAATGACAGATGTTTATTGTTTGAAGACCGAAATGGCCTTAAACACCCAGCAGGCACAAGACTTCAACATGTTGTCAGATTTCAAAGTTGTACCCCAACGTTGAAAATCCGGTTAATGTCAGAACTCAACATCAGGCTGACGTCAAACTAATATCAACCAAATATCAATGTCTAATGATGTTATACAGTAGCTTGATGTTGTGAATGGGGACGTTACCACTATATGACGTCTATCAGACATTGGAGTTTGGTTGCCATAACTGATGAATAAAGGTCAATATTTAATGTCAATATGATGTTGGTTTAAGATGTTGGCTTAACATTGGATTTTGGGCAATTTCTAACACAACCTAAAATCAACAAAATATCATTGTCATTTGACATTGTTGTTGGACATTAAAATAATGTTGTCCTTAGACGCTGGCTGGACATTGAATTTTGGTCACCTGACATTAACCTAAACCAAACTTAATATTAATGTCTTATGATGTTGTGTGCCTGCTGGGCAATAACTAAATGCACTACAGAATGTTACACACATCCACAAATTGCATGTAAATCATCTGCTTTTTACAGCGTAACACTAAAGTTACTTTACGTAAAGTCTACTTTTTACTTATACTTTGAGTAATATTTACAACAGATACTTTTACTCCACTTACAATACATTTTCAGGCAAATAATGGCACTTTTACTTAAGTATGATTTTTCAGTACTCTTTCCATCACTGCATATACAGTTGAAGTCAGAATTGTTAGCCCCCCTGTTTTATTTCCCCTAATTTCTTAACAGAGAGAAAATTTTTCAACAAAAATTTCTAAACATAATAGTTTTAATAACTAATTTCTAATAACCTTATCTTTGCCATGATGACAGTAAAGTAAATACTTTTTTATTAGATATTTTCTATACAGCTTCACACTTCTATACAGCTTAAAGTGACATTTAAAGGCTTGACTAGGATAATTAGGTTAACTAGGCAAGTTATTGTATAACATTTTTTTTTCTGTAGACTATTGAAAAAAAAATAGCCCAAAGGGGCTAATAATATTGAGCTTAAAATGGATTTTAAATTAAAAACTGCTTTTTTTCTAGTTGAAATAAAACAAATACGATTTTCTCCAGAAGAGAAATTATTATCAGACATACTGTGAAAATTTCCTTGCTCTGTTTAACATCATTTGGGAAATATTTAAAAAAGAGAAAAAAAAAATCAAAGGGGGCTAATAATTCTGACTTCAACTGTTTATTACATTTGCAACAGCAGCGTGTTATATTCTCAGACTGTGTATATACTGGAGTACCAGGGCTCTGTACCTGCTCTGCCATAACAATTAAAACAGCAGCAGCAGCAGCAGCGTAGCAGATCTAAACCTCCAAGACCAAATACATCAACATTTCCATATACATATTTATTACCATGCTAAATCCACAGAGTGTTCATAACAGAAATAAAATAATTGTGTGTATGTGTATGAACACAAACACTACTTTTCAAAAGTTTCAAGTCAATATGTTTTTAATTATTTTTTAATGATTTTGAAAGATGTGTCTTATGTTCATGAAAACATTTACTTTACACATTAACATTGTAATGAAACATTTTCAACGTCATTGCAGTATTCTGTATAGCTCAATATTATTATTATTATTATTTTATTATTATTATTCATATTATTATTATTAACAATATTTTCTTTGCTTCAGAAGACAAGAATTATCATTAGGATTGCTAAAATATATACTACATTATTTTATTATCAATTTAATTAATTTTGTTTTTGTTATTTTTATTAGGATTCTTGGATGAAAAGGATGTTCAATAAAAAAACTATTTATTTCAATAAGAACATTAATGTAACATTTTAAATGTTTTAGTAAAGCATTTAATTAATTTAATGCACCCTCACTGAATTAAAGCTTGAACTGCAGTATTACAATATATTCCCTCATGTCTCATCATTACAATTTCTAGAGCTATATATAGAATTACTCTCTCACCATAGACTTTCAACCTTTCAAAATCAATTCCCTCCAATCTGAGGCTCATTTCTTCCTCCCACTCTTATTTTTACCCGAATGGAGATATTG